TGGGTAGAGGACTGGGTAGAGGACTGGGTAGAGGACTGGGTAGAGGACTGGGTAGAGGACTGGGTAGAGGACTGGGTAGAGGACTGGGTAGAGGACTGGGTAGAGGACTGGGTAGAGGACTGGGTAGAGGACTGGGTAGAGGACTGGGTAGAGGACTGGGTAGAGGACTGGGTAGAGGACTGGGTAGAGGACTGGGTAGAGGACTGGGTAGAGGACTGGGTAGAGGACTGGGTAGAGGACTGGGTAGAGGACTGGGTAGAGGACTGGGTAGAGGACTGGGTAGAGGACTGGGTAGAGGACTGGGTAGAGGACTGGGTAGAGGACTGGGTAGAGGACTGGGTAGAGGACTGGGTAGAGGACTGGGTAGAGGACTGGGTAGAGACCAGCTTATGGGTCCCTCCACTAGATGATGCCGATGGCTGTGCGTCACTACCCTTGTATGGGACGAAAAAAAAACATATCTCTATACATACCCTAAAAATACATTGTAAATCTCTTTTATTTGCGTGAATTACATCAGCAGCCAGTACCCCACTGACTGAGAACTCTTCATCTCTGCAAAGAACAAAAAGTACTTTAGTGAAGATCAGGTCTTTTCCTCAGATAGAGCACAATACATTCCTTTGACTCCATTTGTAATGAGACGACTTTAAAAACAACTGTCTGGTTCTTACCCTCAATATATTAATGAAACAAAAACGCCGTAAGGTTGAAAAAAGAAACTGCTGAACAATTTTTTTTTCCGATTGGTACCTTCAAATACAATTTTAGTACAAAAAAATATTTCTTTTACATTAAAATAAAGTGTAATTGAGCAGAAAGTGACGTAACCAATACGATTAACTTTTCACACAGTGACATCAATGTGCATATTCAAGGCTGTGCTCTAAGAAAAATTGAAGGGAGACCAGTGCTCTGAAACTGTGAAATCCAGGGTGCCCAGCATATGCTTTCTATGAAAAAGCTAAGATTCTTGAGTCGCCCAAGAGCAAAAGTAACACGCCAAGGGCCACCGGGCGCTGCTATCTAGGCTACAGCCCTGATATTCTCCATACTTCTCTCTTCACATGTCCTGTCACACTAACGAGGATAATTTGTTTAATAATCAAAAACTTCTTTTTTATGGGATAATTTCCTTCATTCTCATGCCCTTGATGTTTGATTAAGGGGGGGGGGGGGTTACGTGAGGAGAAATTAGATGCTGGTCACTCTGGCGGCCAAAGGTTTGATCGAAGGTCACAAGGCAACGTTTCTGTAGCACCTACCTCATGTCAATAACTTGTGTTGCTGATTGAGAAATCTGAGGGGGTTTGTCACCAGTTACATCAAAAAGAAATAATTTGAAGTCACAGATAACAGCGAATTGTCGAAGCCAACCCTTTTTTATTCCACCAGGCTTAGGAATCTAAAAAAAAAAAATAAAGAAAGAAATGCTTAGTGGGGAAAACCAGCGATTATCTAGGACAACTAACATGACAGCACAAAGACGTATCACTTCCTGCCTGATAACGTCACCTCCCCCGTATGACCCCTTACGTCACTTTCGCTTAGCGTGAATATGTTGACCCCTTGCACGAAACTTTTTGACACTAAAGCCGTGATAAAAATATTGAGCAATATTAATCGCCATTTTAAATGCCATTCCGGCCATATGATTGGTTTATTTGTACCACGTGGTGCAAACTCATCTTCTCTGATTGGCTGTGTACCATAGCGCCCTGTACACGACTGATGCCGGGAAAAAAAATTGAAAATGTGTTTGAAAGGGGACTTATTTCTAACTTTAACTACCTTAACAATTCCTTCATAAGCAGTTCCTATTCCCTTTTGAGGGTCGATTCCAAGCGGCCTTCTGTTCACTACACAGAGAAGAAAGAACAATGTCAAGCAAAATTACCAATAAACAAAACCTTTGTAGATCGACTTAAATGAACCAAGGTTTTGGAAACACTTACTTTGACTCGGAGGAATAGGACAAACTGGCGGTGCTTGTTTAGTGCAGGAAACATGGCAAGCGTATTGACACACTGTGAAACAAACAAAATTATGTCAAGGGGCCAAAATAATGTTAAAATTTGGAGATAACATTGATTGGAGGTGATAATATTTTCAAGTTGTAAGACCTTGCCACGCCCCACTACAAACCGCAGAGGCAATTGGGTCAACGAATAAATATCATTATTATTATCATTATTATTATTATCATTATTTATTATTACTATCATTATTATTATCATTATTATTATTATTATTATCATTACTATTATCATCATTATTATTATTAGAGAACTGCTTTTAGTGAAATATTTTTAAGGAAAAAATTATTATTATTATCATTAATATTATTACTATTATTATTATTATTAAGGACGTCGATCATGTATCGTCAATTTATTTGCTGTTCTGCTGAATGAAGCCGAAGCAAAATAATGCAGACAACATGAATTCTGCTACTCTGTAGAACAGTTCTTAATACCAAAGAGATTCAAGACTTTTCTCTCAGCTAGAGACTTTTTAAACTTGTTTTAATATTTATACCTTAATTTGTCTTAATTTTGTTTGTTATCCTGTATTTTTACTGATGAATTATAATAAAATTACAGTTTAATTATTATTATTATTATTATTATTATTATTATTACTATTACTACTGTCATTATCATTATTGCGGCTAAGGTAATGATGAGGAGTAATATAGACTTATTTGGTTCAGTGTCTGGTTTAAGTGTGCGCCATAACTACATTTGGCAGATAATTAAGAGTAGCCTTTTTGGAAATCTGCACAAAAAGGTACAAATCACAAAACCTCACCTTCACATATTGAACCTTGCCTGACCAAACCGATCATCAGTGAAGTACACTGACTGCACTTTGTAGGTGTTGTGAAAGTTCTTACTGAGAACTTGTGTACACGAGGCTGGGAAGAAAAACAGAGTTGCGTAAGTATAGAAAACAAAAAGACGTAAAGACAGTTTACAAAGCATGTTTGCGCAAGAAAGTGAGATGTTTACTGTTGACAAAGGAGAAAACATAATTCTTCCCCTGAGCGTCTAATAAATTACACAAAACAACTGCCTTGGAAAAAATATAATGTGATACACAGTAACACAAGTAGAAAAAACTAAAACCAAGGCGAATTACATAAAAAAGGCTACTACAAAATGTGGCGTTCTTTAGGAGTTAAAAATGGAAAGAGCAAAGCTTAAACAAAATTCAAAACTTGTTAGCGAGACATGCTGAGCTTCAATTATGTAAAGGACATGCTATGAGTTGAAAGAAAATGTTTTGCATGGTCATTTTAGAACAACTTTCAATTGAGTGTTGAAAGTAACCTGAGATTCCATTGGTATTACTTTACTTTGCTCTGTGATTGCTTCAGAAAACTCGCACCACTTTCAACCAATCAGATGCAATACTAAAAACCAGTTACGACTTGGCGCCAGCATTTTCCCGCGCTTTTCTTGGTCGCCCGCGTTTTCCCGCGCTTTAGGCAGTTTGCTTGTTTTTACTTTGAGTTCTCATTGGCTCTTTAGGGTATTTACCTTTCATCTGATTGGCCGCTGTGATTACTTTGGTTTTAGCTTTACGACACTCAATCAAAAAGCGTTTCCACTAACCTGCTTGCAGGCGGTAGTTTGTGTCTTCTCCCCTTCCCCCCTTCCCCCTCCCCCTCGCTTTGTCACTCGTCCCAGATCTTCCACCCGTCCAATATGGCGACCGAATATTCGCCGCGTTGAATATCGGGCTTGAAAACAAACTACCGCCTACAAGCAGGCTATCTTCAAGGTAAAGTAATTAATGATGACACAATAACACGACAGTTCACCTGAGGAGGTGCGATGGATGACACAGATGAAATGGATGATCTTATTGAAATGGACTGATGGAAAATAAAAAAGCAAATAAAATATCAGCATTTAATGAGTTAGGTGTATGTTGTGTATTGGATCAAATAGCCCATTTCCGAATTACCCTTGGCCTCTTTTTAAAAACGAGGCCTGGTGCTCAACCATTCTTGTGAAAATGAGTTTAATTTGCATGTGAATGAAAACTTATTATCATGTGAAAGGGTGAGCACCAGAACTCGTTTTGAAAATGAGGCCAAGGGTAATTCGGAAATGGGCTATTCGTTATTGTTAACAGTCATAATCAGACGCAATCATTTCAATTAAAACTTTCTCTCAGGCGAATGGCTTAAACAGAAAATTTTCCTTACAATGCTAATACATCTTTTATGCCGAAAGGTGATTAGAAAAAAAGATATGAAGAGAAGGATACTTCTTGATTTAATAACAAATACTCAAATCTGTAATGGAAAGAGGTGTATGAAGACAGTGCGGAGAATTCATATCCAGATCATGGAGGAAGAAAAAAAAAGACACTTACATCGGGGGCAGCTGTTGAAGGAGTGCTATGAGACCGGGACCTCTGTTCCTCTCCTAACTGACCGTCTATTTCCTGTAGAAACACAAGTAAGAACAGAAAGACAACAACAACATCAAAACATAAATATAAAATTTTCACAATGAAGTGTTACATATATCTTATTAACCAAGCGCGAGGGCCGTACTGGGAGAATATCGGCCCGAGGTCTTGACAGTACGGACCAAGCGCTGCGAGGTCCGTACAAAAAAGACCGAGGGCCGATATTCTTCCGGTACGGTCCCGAGCAAGCTTGGTTAATAAGAGATTTATTATACGACTGAAGTTCAAAGGGACACAAGTGCGGTATCATTCGGGACCATTCGGGACAGTGCCCGGTCCAATACTGAGAGAATATTGCCCGGCAATAGAGCATTTTGATTGGTTGATTTCAGTTATTGGCCCTCTGACTGCCTGATTCGTGTAATAATGTTCTTTATTGTTTTGCTTTCTTTGTGCATATGTTTGTTTATATTTGACGGCAAGCATGGTAAGACGTTATGTAAGTCTGTCTGTTGGTAGAATTATGTTGGTTTTACTAAGCTTTGCTTTGTGATTCGTCCAAAAAAAAAAACGGCACCAACAAGTTGCAAGACTAATACCATTAAACGATTGGTTCGTTTTTAATTTGAGTTCTCGTTGGCTTTTCCGGATGTTTTTTTTCTTTCTCCAGATTAGTCAATTCGTTTTTTTAGTTTTACGACCCTAAATCGAAAAGCACTCTAACCCTAAAAAACTGAATGATTCCTTGCATTGTTTACTCAGCAAGTAAATGAAATCAAATGAATACCTCTGCCAATCCTTCTAGTCTGGAGTCTCGCGAAGTTTCCCTCATATACAAGAATGATAATCCATCTGTATAACAAACAGGGAAAGGAATTATTCCGGTAATCATATGCGGAACCATACCGCCCTGGCCTTTATGTAAGTCAAAGGTTTACCTTATAGCTTAGCCTGCAGTGCTGGCGTCTTGTACAAAAAGTTGTACCGACAAAAAGTTGTACCGACAAAAAGTTGTACCGACAAAAAGTTGTACCGACAAAAAGTGATACGACCCTGTGATGTCATTTTACTGTCTAAAATGATCGCTGGTTTCCTTGCTACACACACTTCTACTTTTTTTCGATTCCTATGCCAGGCGGTATGAAAAAAGGTTGGCTCCACTGTCATCTGTGACTTTAAATTATTCCTTTTCGATGTGACTAGTGACAAACCCGCTCAGATTTCTCAATCAGCAACTCAAGTTAAGGTTAAGAAGCGCGCGATCGTTTATTCAACCGGCCATGTTTTATTTGGAGTTAGATTTGACGATAAGGGGGGAGGGGAAGGGAAGAGGCGAATAGACACTTCCCCACCCTTACCCCTTCCTTCCTTCACTGTTACTCACCCCCTTAGTACAAATTTCTTTCTCTCTCCATCCCCCCGCTTCCATTAAAATCCAAGATGACTGCCATAATTTTTGCTGGGAAAATACTGAGCACTCGCGCTATTTGCTTTTCGACAAACATTTAGTGCTCAAAAAAAAAAAAAAACACTGATGCACACAACGACAAGAAAGTGCTTATGCAAAATGCAGGATTTTCAAAAGTCTACTGATTAGTTGTTCCTGTTTCCAGAGCCGAAATATCCATGAAAGCAAAATATCCAACGAAGTACATAAAATGTAACAGTAAACAACAAAAATGCACTCATATCTACTCTCTTTTAAACCATCCTTAGATTAACGCTATTGGAAAAGGTTTCTCATTCACAGTTAAGGAAAATATTTTAACTCTAGGGTGGAAACTGCTGAAAGGAGAGGGAAAAACATTCTCTTTTTTTTTTCACTTGTCCAAAACATCTTGCTTGCACTTCTTTAACAGGAAAATCTGGGTAAATTCCGCAAAGTAAATGAATTCTTACTTCCAGACTTGCCACCAACTCTCAATTGTTCGATTTCTGCTTTGAGTTGCTTGACTTCATCACGCAGAGTATCACACTGCGCTTCAGATTCACCCAATTTCCTATAATCAATCATAACAATAAAGAACTCCCATAAACAAATCAGTTATAATGACCAATTAAATTTCCCACATTTAACTGTTTACAAGACTGACAAACCTTGCAGAAATAAAAAGAAACCTAGCAGCAGAAACTTGTTTTGTATTACAATTTACCTTAGTTGGTTACAAGCCAGGTGTTACCATAACTTGTTCCATAAGCTGCTACCTAAGGTGTAGGCGCTTTTTCCATAGGTGACTGTACCCGGAAAAGAGCATGCACGCAAGCTAAACAGCGGTACACGGCTAGTCACCAGCTTTTAGTGAAACCTCCGCAATCTATCTCTAACACTGTTGCACCTCACCTCTCATTAGCTACATTAGCAGCTTTCATTTTGTTCAGTTCCTCCATCAGTTGCTGCTTCACCTGAATCTCAGCTTGGAGATTTGACTGCAGCGTCAGTATCTCTTGTTTGTCAACTTTCTGTGATCGTCTCATCTGCCACTGGTTCTTTTCACCCTGTCACATAAACAAGAACAAAATGGAATGGAAATAAATCATGTGCACATAAAATTTATCTTGAGCCAGTGGTCCGGGATTATTTTGGTTTTTCTTAACTTTGATCTGTGATTGGTCCAGAAAACTCGCGTCACTCTCTCGGCCAATCAGATGCAAAATGAAACACAATCACGACTTGGTCGCCCATGTTTTCCCGCGCTTTAAGCAGTTTGCTTGTTTCACTTTGAGTTCTCATTGGCTAATGATAATGTAAACCTTTGTGCTGATTGGTTGCTGGGATTACTACGGTTTTGGTTTTTTGACACTCAACTGAAAACTACTCTAACGCAAAAGTTGATTTTCATCTCAAAACCATGGTGAATTGAATCGCCAGCAATAATCAATGGAAAACTTTGCAATATACTTTGACTTTTTCTCCAGTTTCCTTGTTGATACGTCGCCTGGGAAATATCTAGTGCACCATGAAGCCACTTTTTTGTAATCTAAATTTTTATTGCCGCTGACCAGCACATACCCTCGGTATTGTGGCGTATCCTGATGATTTCAGACCATCCAGTTCTTCTGTCATTTTACTAGCTAATGCTTGAAGATAGCCTCTGGCCTCCTTCTCGTCACTCACCCTTCATTGAAAAATGAAAAGGAAACTCTTTTTTTATTACTGTTAAACCAGTATTCATAAGTGGCGGATCCAGGGGGAGGGTCCGGGGGGTCCGGACCCCCCCCCCCATCAAACCTGACGCTTACAACTTTGAGACAGGATCGTATATCCCTTTTAACTGGCTGATTTTTTTAATAAATCCAAATAAACGGTAAGCGGCCAAGGAATTATGACGTACAACCGCGACTAGTGGGAGGGGGTGTGGGGGAGAAGTAATCTGCCTCAAAGAGTCCAACAGTCCTTTCTGAACCAAAGTTTGGACCCCCCCCCAATCAAAAATTCCCGGATCCGCCTCTGATTTATGGACCGTATTGAGTCACTTTGTTACAAAAACCTGCACTAGGGGTAATGAGAAAACTGAGTTCCATTTTGAGCCAAAAAGAGTTTGAGTTTGCAACATATTGACTGTTAAATTGTTTGCGTTATTACAACATATGCTCTTCTCTTCACCAGGAAACAAAACCCTTATGAGAAAGGGTTTGAATTACCCAATATCTTCTGAAACTTTTCCCCTCTTAAAAGTTACCTAATAGAGAGATTTAGCGCCGCGTTTACGTTTCACGTCAACGGCAAGAGTGACCACCTGACCTTGTTTTTCCCGCCATTTTTTCAGGTTTGCCGGTTGTGCTTTGCCGTTACTATGTGAAAGTAAACTGTTTCGCGTTTGTCGTGTACGAAAGATTTTCTTCACTTTTTTCTCTCACAGAGTAGAAGTTGATTGCCGGAAATAGGGCACCAGAACTATTCCCTGCAAGTCATGACGTGAGCTCACGCGAAGCTTGAGCTGCAAGGTTCATGCTATTTCACGTGAAACGCGAAAGGACAATCTGACTTTTACCGTTTCACGTAAACACGAGGCTAAATCTCACTAATAATATATGAAGATAAAGCTGTCTTAACACATACCACTGAATAATCTCAGCTATCTGAGCTTCCCAGTGTGCAACAGCATCTTTCTTTTCATTGCTGTCCCTCATTTCTTCCTCAAGTTTACGATGAGCAGAGGTGGTACGTTTCAAAGTTTCTGTCATCTGCAACATTCAAAACAATAATATAAGTACCACGTTATCATCAAGTTTGAATAAAAGGAGAGACAAAATTGGTTGCAAGATAAAAAAAACTTTCATCTATCCAATAGTTAGAGACAAGAAGTTTAAGAATTGAATGGCCAAAACTCGATGAGCACTCCTTTACCTGGAAGAGGACAAATTTCATAATATTCTTTCAGCTTGGTAAGCCTCTAATTAAACCCCTCCCCTCCCCTTGTCCGTCAGACAACCAAAATCGCAAAAATACCCATAGGATACTAAGAGAAACAAAAGCAGTTTTTTTGCCCCGTAACAATAAATGAATCACTACAAACCTTGTCGACATCAGCTTGTAATTTCTTGTTCTCCTCCTCAAGAATACCCTTAGTTCTTTCACTCTTTCTCCTCAGTTCCTCGATCGCTTCTTGATGTTCTTTTACACTAAAATGACAAAGCAGGTAATGAGCAATATATTTGTAAATAAAACATGCATTAACCCTTGATCTAATTATTAGTTCTCCCCTCTAGCTGCTACACATTTCCTTGTGAAGAGGTTACGAGAATTTAGTGTTCAATCAAGGTAACAACTTCTACCTGATAAGTTTGAGTACTCTCATTACCTGTTTGCTGAATATAGTACGGATATTACAGGGAGAAGTTACATGTCAATCAATTCTGGCAGTCAAAGAGTTAAATAAGGCAAAGTAATGTGACTACACATATGTAATGTTAGCAGACGCTTACTAGGCATGAGAAAGGATCAGGAACTAACAACTTCTGTGCAAGCCACAATGCCCACTATCTTTGTTTACACGAACAAACGATACACAAAGGGGTTGGAACTCTACTTAACTCACATAAGGAAGGACAGACTTCCACTGAGATATTTTTTACGGATGACTTTACATTTACCTCTACTTGCCCTTCAAGTGAAGGTTGAGAACAAATTGTAATATAATTTACCTGTCCATGCGTGCCTCATTTACTTTGGTAGTTAATGCAGAGACCTGAAAATACATCACATATCAGCAATTAGTATATACACACTCAGTGATCTTGGCGTTTCAAGCAATCTGATTGGTTCGCTATCTCGGGCTAATCAATAATGTACAACTCCGAGCGAGTGGATAGTGTGAAAAACAAAATGACGAGTGTAAACTCGCGTTTCGCTAAAGTTTCAGAAGCAGAAATTACCTTTAAATGGCTTCCTTTTAATTTTGTCGAGATCACTTCATGTGTATATACTAAAACAATTATTCTTTTCAATCTCGGTGAATAGTGACTTTCGGGAATATTTAGCCACTATTCACCTCGATTTCAAAGAATAATTGTTAAATGTAAAAAAGTTTGCAAGTAGCTAGTATTGACAAGAAAAGAACTGGGGTAGGTGTCAAGATTAAGCTAGTTACATAAATTTAATTACCTCATTTTTCAAACTTGCTCTCGCTGAATCTGCTTCAAGAAGTTTCTCATTCAATTCCTGATAAAAATTTAAGAGGCAGATGAAGAACATCAACATAGAAAAAAAAAAAAAACAATAACGTTCTTGAATGGAAAGCTTCATCATAAAATGTGAAATAATCAGGTATCGAAGATAACAAAAACCTCACCTTAATTTCACTGGAATATTTCTGTTGTTCCTGAGCTGTTGATTCTTCGTATTCTAGTTTGATCTTCTCTATCTCTGCTTTGAGTCTAAAACAACAACAATAAACTCCACTGAGTCTGAAACTGTGATCATCATTACAAAAGGAAATGGAACAAAGTTAGATTATTAAATCATCATTCAAATTATACAATATAGTATGGGGACATTTCAAGATTTCAAGATCATTAAGAGGGGGGGGGGAAGGAACAGAGAGAAGATGTAAAGAAAGGATAGCATTAAAGAAAAGCCTGTCTTAACCATTCCGTCCCCACAAAAGACCAAAGGGGACTTCCTATTTGCAATATCAATACATTTGAAAGCAAAAAGGTAATGAGGAGAAAGAAAAATATCAATCAAAGGACACTATTTAATTCAACTACAAATTCACATAGATTCATTGATAGATAGATAGTTTAATGGCCATATACATTGCAACCCGAGGGCTGAATTGCGTATATACAAATGATTAAACTGATATAATGGGTACATAACATAAAATACTTTAAATGTAAAAGTATGAAAAAAAGGGATAAAATACAATAAATGGACTTAGAAAAACGTACGTATTAATATTAACAGTAAAGGATCTTAAAATAAAACTGTTTCTAAAACGATCTGTCTTGCAATTGGGTACGATGAAGCGCTTATTGCACCTTAGGGCATAGCGTGACGGACCGCTAAGTTGAATTAACTTGTTCAGACGGTGTTCAGGGTCCTTTATAATGGTGTCGAAAGTATTATTACATAGCCCCATGATGAAATCTAGAATGGGGACGATGTTTACTAGTTCGATGGTCTCCTGGTAGGGCAGTTCAGGGCAAATCATAGACCTAGCCCGCTTCTCGACTCGCACCAAATCGTCTGTTAAGTACTTTGGCAAAGCATAAAAAAGGCAGGTGCCGCGTAAGTAAGAACACAGCGGATACAGGCAGTATAAAAGGTGGGCATATCATGCCTAGGAACTCTTGATCTTTTTAACTGCACTAACAAATACAGATGCTTTGACACTTTTTTTATTACGTCATTAATATGTTCGTTCCACTTGAGGTTGTTCGATATGGTCAGACCCAGAAGTTTCGCACTAGTCACTAACTCTAGTTCTTTACCATCTACAAGTATTGGGGCAAACTGCGGCTCGTTCTTTGCCAAAGATATTCTGAGCTCCTTACACTTTTCGCGATTAAGTTTGACTCTATTCTGCATGGACCACTCTGCGATAGCCTGGGCATAACTGTAGTTGCCCTTGATAACGACTTTTGATGCCGTCGTATCGTCAACGTACTTCCATACATTAGCTAACTCATCAACAACTAAGTAATTTATAAGTACAAGAAACAGTCATGGGCCTAATTTAGTTCCCTGAGGGACGCCGGAGGGCACTGGGCCCCACTCTGAGTAACAGTCCTCAGATAGTTTGATTCTTTGGAAACGATTAGAAAAGAAGACTATGATCCAATTGACAATTCTTGTATTCAGATTTGACCAGCAAAATTTCTCTACAAGTATTCTATGGTCAATAAGGTCGAACGCTTTCTTATTATCAGAGAGAATAGCTCTAATTGTTGCCCAGTTGCCATCGGTTTCCTTGGACCAGTTATGAAGCATGTGTATCAGCACCTGGGTGATTGAGGACTTGGGAACAGCTCCATATTGGTTAGGGTCAAGCAATTCCAGAACTGCATGCTTTACGTAATCGAGAATTACGCACTCCTCTGCAACTTTCGATAAACATGGAGTAAGGGAGATAGGCCTGAGCTGCTTCGTTAGGTCTTCAACTGGCTTCACCTTGGGTAGAGGAGACACATTCGCGTACTTCCACGATCTTCGGAAGAGACTGCTCATTCAAAGTGAGGTTGATAATTCTACTGATGGGAAAGGACAAACATTCAGCATACTCCTTGAGCATCCAGTTTGGTATCTCGTCGGGACCACATGCCTTGGAAGGGTTTAACGCAGTCAATAACTTAACAATACGCATATCCGAAACCCCTGGAAGCTCAGGCGTGTCCTCATCAATGCGAAATTTGGTCAGCGGTTGAAGTAAGCGATATTCTTCACGAGGCTCAATAAAGGCGTTTGCTAGCTCCTGGGGCTTAACGTTGAGTCCTTAAGCAAGACACTTCACTCACATTGTTTCCTCTTCTCGGATAGGACGTAAAGCCGGAGGTCCCGTCTCTTAAAAAGGGCAAGGGGTAAGAGACGTTAATTTCCCACGTACGAGATTACTGTGTGCTGGATGTCCT